TGAGGTGGTAAAGCCATGTGTGGGGTGCGGAGGAGGACAACACTGCTGACTCAGGCTTCTTCTCTCCTTGGTCCTCCTCTCCATGGCAGTGAGACCAGGAGGATTAATGAGAGCGGTAAAGAAAGAGAAAAAAAGAGCAGAGAGACTTGGCTCAATGGTCTCTCTGTGTCCTGGTGGCCCAGCAGTTTGAAGCAACCTTTTTTTTTTACACCACATACTATTTTTAAATTGACAATTTGTTATTAGTTATCCCATTTGTCTTCTTGTGGGCTCTGCCTTGATAGCGAGTTTGAAAATGACAGAGAAAGAGAGGGAGACAGAGAGAAACGGTACAAAGAGAGATAGAGTGAGCATAAAAACTAAACCAAACAAAAAAACAAAACAACTTTATTTGTCTTTCATTGTGGTAATGCACTAAATAAGAAAAATACATAGATCTCTCGGCAACAATCAGGCTGTGTCCACACATATTTCATGTACTGCTGAACAATGAAACAGACTGGTGTGTCACTTTGATTAATTAAAAGCCAGTACACTGTTGTTGGGGGATTTATGAATAAAAAAGCGGCACAAGCAAAAGCTACATAAAAATATTTTTGGTTGAACTATAACATTTCCTCATGGCCCAGTAGCAAATGTGCCATGGCCTGGCACAAGTTCACGACCCACAGTGGTGGAGGAAGTTTCAGACCATTTGCTTTGGTAAAAGTAGCAATAAAACAATTCAAAAATACTCTGCTACAAGTAAAAGCACTGCACTTATAATCTTACTTAATTAAAAGGTATGTATTAACAGCACAATGTACTGAAAGCTGTAGTTGGTAACTTTTATAAGCAATAACTTTTTTCATATTTGCTGAAATTGTCTCTATATTCACATAACTAAATGAAACAGATAATCATATCCCTCTGCCTACTTGTTGGAGTCATAATATAGTTTTTGCTTATTTTATCCTTACCTAAACACAAGGTAAAATATAAATATACACATGCAGTTATTAAACTGAACACAGGGTGGAGCATTCATGTGTGAAGGGCATATAGGTAAGCTCCATGTAATGGGAATCAGGCGTGGGGAACAGGATGCAAACAGCTTTTAACCGTGTATTGGTGTGTAAAAGTGAATTTGTTGAATGGAATAATGATCAAATATGGACAATGCTGTCAGTCTTCTATGGTATGGTGAATATGTATATATGGTTTTGAGAGGAAATGGATCGCCAAATCCAAAGAGATGACGCACACTGGAGTTTGGTTTACTCTTAGCTCAGAACACGCGTCCCGAACAAGTTTACCTGTTCGCCCCCCAGTGGCTTCTTAAGAAATTTTGTTTTGTTAAAAGTCACTGCATTCCTCTTTTAACCTGTAGCACTTCTTATGGCCTTACCGCAGGTCAACAAAACAACCAATCAGAGCTGAGGAATCTCTAATGCAGCTTTCAAACACTGTTCATGAACTGTAGTCAAACTGTCAAATATGAATCACGATTCTGTTACTGCATTGCCCACCTCAGATGTTTTCAGAAACATATTTTAGTGTACTGTTTAGCTGTAAAATGAGAAGGCTGGTCTGGCTGGTTGGCGGTGCTTGCTTCTTCTGTCAACTATTTACAAACACTCTCATTCTACAGGTAAACAGGTCACTAAAATATGTTTCTAAAGCATCTGAAATAAGAAAGAAATAGGCAATGCAGTTACATAATCTTGATTCATATTTGATAAGCGCTTCCTAGTTTGACTGCAGTTCACAGAGCAATTGACATGATTGACAGCTGCACTAGAGACTCCACAGCTCTAGCTGGTTGTTTCTAGTGCATCACAGTGATTCCAGTGAATGCCGTTAGAGGCAGAAGGAAGAGGTGGAGGGACATGATTTTTTTCACAGACTGTCTCATGTACTTCTCTTAGAATATAATGACAGTTTCATCACATATGACACAAAGTTATTTCCAATAACTGTGGCTTTAAAGTATCAAAAGTAAAAGTCACTATACATACAAGGTGAACGTAGTTTAGTACAATATTTGCCTCTGAAATGAAGTGAGGTAGAACCATAAGGTTGTATAGAATTGAAATACTCTAAGTAATGTAAAAATTATCTTTACGTTGTACTGGAAGCACCGTGCAGGTTGTCCAGAAGGCGATTTGCGTTTCCTAAGACAGTTAAGGCATGACCCACCCTACTCTGCCTCACTCTGCCTCTGATTGGCTTACCTTGGCATTCTTACCATAACCTAATGGTTCTCAAACTTTTTCTGTTCGACTCCGCTTCAGAAGCCGAAAAAAGTTTGTGTCCCCCCACCCTACAATGTTTTATCTGTCATTAACAACAGGTGAAGCAACTAGTAAAGAATCCATCTTGAATTTTAGTGAAGTAAAAGTCAGCATAAATAAGATTTTTCCATACACATAAATCATATTTATTCAGCTTTGTTTCACTCCATATTTCCCCCCTGGTGATTTATGCCCCACCTGCTGTGGATATATACCCTAACCCTAACAAATTCCACTCTGAAACCTAACCAACTCAACCAAAGAGGGCAACAAGTACTAGTGGGAGAATACGATGTGTCATGCCTTTGGAAATGCAAATTCGCCCCCAGCAAAAACTGAAAGTTAAAACACATGTGTTTAAATCTGCCTTAGGACCCTTGTAAAATGTTTATTCTTTCTTTTTCCCCCCATACGGTCTGCTGCTCGCCACTGACAACAATTTAATGAAGTCAAAAATGCCATAGACTTGGTTGGAATGTCCCAGCAGCTCATCCCCACCACCAGTAACCACTGGGCTCTTACTGGAGACGCTGTTTCAGACAGACAGACTACCCAACACTGATTCAATCTAAACTAATGAGACCCTTTGGCTGCACAAAGTGATTTACATCCAACTTAAGTGCAATTTTATTTGAATTACTTCAATTTGTTAAACTGAGTATGTGGAATGACTGACGACCTGGGACAGCATTTATTCAGGCGATCTAGAGCGCCGCTGAAAAGCTGTGTTTGACATTCGCATTGCAAAGACACAGAGAGAGCCTTTGCAATGGAGAAAATTCAAACAGTCTGCTCAAAAGCAGTGTGTTAAGAAAGACCTCAACACCGACACACCTGATGTAAACATCCAGGTTCAAACACTGGAGTGGAGCCAGCCGACTCAGCTCATGTTACTAAAGCAAACACAGACGCGCATGCACCGTGCTCGCACTCTGTATTGTGAAGGCATACAGTTCAACAAGTGTGCCACAAAGAAAATAATCCTCATGTACCTTTCTCACTCCCGACTCCCTGTCAGAGTCAATGACATCACATACCTCTGAAACAGTACGGCATTCATGAAGGTGTCCAAAAACACATAGTGAACAACACATTTGGGGGGGGGGGGGGCCACATACACACACAAATATGCAGCCATCCTCCTTCTGACTTCCTTACAGGGTGATGTGCCTTCCAGGTATTTCTGTGGTCTAAAATGTAATCTGCTGCGGCATGTAGTGTTTTCGCAGGATTCGTCATATTTACAAATGAGAGAGTCCACGGCCTTAAGGCACACCACGTATCTCGGTAATTAAAACACCCTGGGAGGTCTGCTGCTGCAAAGTGTGAGAATATTTGCTCTACACCTCCTGGACTCTCACAACACTCGCCGACATCTTCATCTTCCCTCAACCTCATTGCCGCTGGTTGTGACGGAGTCCTTTTGGCTCAGGCCTGGCTGTCATTGGCGAGAGATTTCTGATGAGGGAAGGAGAGCGCGGTGAGAGTGGAGAGGTTCATGGTCATACTAGTTTAGTGTGGGATGGGTACCCGTGGGAAGATGAGAGCAGGGACCGCAGCTTGTGTAGCACATCCATAAATCAATAGATGAATCACTGAGAGTGGCCAGTGGTGAGCTGGGTTAGTGTCAACATGTTTATCACTCAATGCAGCATGGAAAAAACACACTTACAGTAAATGGCAGTGGGCTGACAGGGGCTAGTTTCCCCTATTGGTTCCCTTAAAAGGAACCTAATATGATCATTTCCAGTTCATATATGTATTTTGGGTTTCTACAACAACATGTTTACGGCTGAAATTAATTCCCTCCGTGGGGTGGCAGGGCTCAGCCTTAGAGATAGGGTGAGGAGCTCTGACATCCAGAGGGAGCTCGGAATAAAGCCGCTGGGCCTTCGCGACAAAGGGGCCAGTTGAGGTAGTTCGGGCATCTGATCAGGATGCCTCCTGGGCGCCTCCTTGTTCGAAGTTTTCTGGAGACATCCAACTGGTAGGAGGCCCCAGCGCAGACTTAGAAAACACTGGAGGGATTATATATCTCATCTAGCCTGAGAACACCTCGGGATCTCCTAGTAGGAGCTGGAAAATGTTCCTGGGGAGATGGACGTCTGGAGTGCTTTGCTCAGCCTTTCCCCCCACGCAGCAGATGGATGGATGTTTCCATGCTTTTAATGTTTAAAAAAAACACTTTATTTTTCTAAAACTCTCTGTCCTGGAGTACCTGTTTTCAACTTTTGTGAAATACTCCATTTTAGCACCTGTCTCTTTAAACTCCACCCTCTGAAAATACCCAGTCTGCTCCGATTGGTCAGAGTTTATGAGCTTCCTGTATCTCAGCATTTCGGCATCATTTTTGCAGCCATGGGGAATGACTGTAACAGAGTATAGCCGCACTTTTTACTGTAAAAAAAAAATCACAATCAATAGTTTCCAAACCAGTTCCAGCAGGAATTTGATCCAAAAACAGGGGGAAAGTAAGAACAACATCAACTAAAATTACATGTTTCTCTGACGTTAGCATGTGGTTACATGTAGCAGTGTAGGTGACTTAATGTAAACACTTGCAGTGGCAGGCCTGGAGCAGATAACCATAAAGAAATCCATCACAAGCTGACGTCAGCTGGTCGCGAAAGTAGGAAAAACATTGGAAACAGAGTATTCAGAAAGGCCCTTTAAATAGGGCTGCAGAAAGTTCTGTCTGTATATAAAGGGCTTTATCAGGGGACCTACCTGAACAGGAGTCAGCTGGGCTCTGGGGTCAAACACTCGCAACATCTTGTCCTAGACAGATGAAAAAAAAACAACAACATAAAAATACATACATCCAACAGTTGAATCTACATCACTCTAAAACGCTGAACATTACATGAAGGTCTCATGAAGGTTGGATTTTTTGCAGGACTGTTGTGTTAGACTTTAGCCAGGTGTACCTAATAAACAGGCTGTATTAAGATGTGTAAAGAAGGTCAAAGAGAGTGTGCAAGGTCAAGATTTAAAGTTCTCACAAAGAACGAGGGAAAAAATATTAATGCTCATCAGTCAGCTGTTTTTTTGTGCATAAAAAACTAAAATGGGAAACTGAAATATGAAAACCACATATTAAAAACATTAATAACAGAGTCCCTCCACCTCAGTATAATTCAGTTAAAGAATAACACAAGCTCTCTTAAGTTTCCTTATTTATCAGCCTGATCTGACTGATTCATCGTCGGCAAATGCAATCCAGTGACCTCTCCAAAGCCTCATGTGCCGTGACCCCGGCCAGCCCCAGCACGCATTTGGCATCAATCACAGCGGCCAATCAGAGAGTCTCCTGCGTGATTGAGAGGAAATGGGGCCTAATGGGATCAGGCTGTGACCGGGACATGCATGTCTGCAGCCGTGTCACTCAATACCGCTGTGTGACTGTGATCACAGAGGACATACGGGGCTGATAGCAGGTAATAAGTATGAGGACTTAGACTAAACCACGATATACATGTCAGAGGGAATCAGGAGGCTGACAATGACACAGTCAGACACACACACACACACACACACACACACACACACGGAGGCACTGTGCAACATTTGGCCATACACAACATAAATACAGCATTTTATCATATCTGTGTGAGCTTCAGCTTCTCTTTGTCCTGTTCTCCACAGCATTCCAAGCAGGGATTCATTTGCCGTTTACTTGCTTGAGTAGCAAACGGGGGTTTCATAATGTACCCTTTTTTCCTCTGCCTCACTCCCTATCTGTGTGTTTGTGTAGCCCACCCACGAATATGATGCCCTAAGGCTCTGTCTGTCTTGAGGCCTCTGTGACCTAGGCCAAAGCTAAAGGCTCAGGGAGCAGTGCCAGAACAACACGAACACACACACACACACACAAACACACACACATACACACACTAAAACCACATGACCTATGGATGAGAGCCCACCTGTCGCAAAAATGCCAAAATGTGGCTATAACAATCTCTGATCGGAGAGCATTCCCAGAATACCAGCAAAGAACACACACACATACTTGTACTCCTATCTTTGTGAGGACCCTCACTGACATAATGCATTCCCTAACCCCTCAACCTAACCTTTATCTAAACCTCACTGTGACCCACATAACAACCCTCAAACAAGTCTTTGAAGAGGTAAGACCAAAACGTCCTCACTTTCCAAAATGTCCTCACTCCGTTGGTTAAAAACATGTTCCGGTCCCTTAAAGGTCTACCTTAAAATGTTATTTATTCTGTATGCTCCTGAACCTGAGTGACGAATTCCGTTGTCCCATGTTTTAAACATGTTTGAATGACATAGACTGAACCTTGAACTATGAAGCAAGTAAAAGTGTACACACACACACACACAGGTTCTGGCAAATGAAACAATTAACAATTATTTACATTATCTCCTAATCTGCTGATTATTTTCTCAAGTAGTTATTAAACTGTTTTGTCAATATTTTGTCAGAAAATAGCGAAAAATGACCTTTAAAAAATCCCAACAGCCCAAGCAGGCATTCTTAAATGTCTTCTTTTGTTGGAGCAACAGTCTAAAACCCAAAGATATTCAATTTACAACCGTAAAAGACAAAGAAAGGCATCGAATCCTTGCATTTAAGAAGCATTTCACTACTGGAAATATGGTCTTTTCATAGAACTACGCTACCCAGCCCAATAAACACTCTCATGCGACTGATATAATGCAAGCTCGTCTGTTTTAACACAGGATACAAAATGGTGGCCAGCTAGTTACAAAAGATTTTGAATTACAGTTAAAGGTAAAATATTTTTCTGTAAAAATGTGATGCAGAATCTCAGCTCTTATTTGATCACCACTGCTTTGTTTTACTGTTTGAGCTCAGTTTTTTCAGTTTCCCTTTTCTTTTTACAGCACAGGAATCTGTCTGGTGCCCACTTCCTGTTCACAAATTCTCACATTACAGCCAAACAGTGCACTAAAATATGTTTCTGAAAACTTCAACTCAACGTCAACTAACTAACCTCTACAACCAAACACGCTTTAGAATAACCAAACACACACATATCTACTGTACATATGTACAAACACACATTTGCCATATTAAGTTCACCCACTGGCATATCAACATAAGTGTTGTTGTGCAAATATCAACATGAGGGAGGAAACTATCTGGCTGTGCAAACACACAGATGAGGGGCTACTCACATATAGATGTGTCCACCAAGCAACCACACACACACTCAGACAAGCAAACACTCTCTCTTAAGCCTATGACAATAACCCCATGTCAACACACACACACCAACTCAACTCATAAATGCACAGATGGAGGGCCCGGACAGCCGTGTGTGCATTTGTGTGTTTGTGTGTATCTGTGCTGAGACAGCAGCTGTTTAATCAAAGTGACGGAGCCTCATTCTCAAGCTGCTGTTAATGAGTTTTCACTGCGAGTTTGAAGCACACAACTTTCACATGTATGCAAAACACACACAGACGCTGGGAATCTTCAACTGGGGGGGGGGGTCGCCCTCTCTCTCTTCACACTGCGATGCCAGCCGTCCCTGCTCAGTCTCCCACAGTTACCGGTGTCAAAGCCTGTTGTGATTGGCGGTTTAAGACTGCAGGTTCCTCATCACGATTATATCTCACTCTTCTCACCGGGGGCAATAAGCTGCGGAGCTCAGTTATAATCTGGCTTTCAAAAGTCAAGGTGGACCATGGACAATAAATCCAGTGACACCTCATTTCTAAACAGCATACTCGTACTCTCTGCTCGTACTACCTGTGGATTTGCCTTCCCTAAAATGAATGGCGCCTTTCTCCCTCCAACTGTGTCATAAATATACATCTCTCTAAGTCCAAACGAGGCCTGTTGTGATTCCTGCTCTTTGGGGTGGTGGTCTCCCCTTCATCTTGCCCCCCAGCACTGCGCCCCAATGTTTACCCTATGGGAGGGCCGGGGGATTGGACCCACATGTTGGCGGGTCCTATTTGCTTTAATAAGTTGGATTGGAGAGATTGAAAGGGGCCTTTTGGGTTAAATGACACCAAAGCCCAACAGGGCAAGAACCTCAGAGGCCCCCCGACTCTGATCTGGGCTCACATTTCCCCCTCCCCCCCATTTCTTTTCAGGTGCCTTGCTCTTTTTCTGAGGCTGATGGTAGGGGTGGTAGCTCTGGTGAGGATGATTATCCTGTCAAGGTAAATGTCATGATTTGGACGTAGCCTGTGATGGGTGGAGTAATTTGTTACTTGTCAGAGCAAAGACAAACAACGGGGATTGGACTGACAATCATACCTGTTAAGTACGCACATGTGGGAGATTTCTGTGTCAGAGTTGGTTCTCTCTCAAACACACGTATGTTCATCGCGCATTGTTTAAAGTATACACAAGAGGTCTCTGCCTCATTTTCACATCAATCAGTCTCTGTCTGGTTTCAGAAAGGATACAAATACAGAGTGCAGAGTGTCTACAGGTATCAGACACTTAGATTTAATGCTTTGTGGGGACTTTTTCAAGATATTTTTTAACCAAATTTAAGACAGATTTTTGAACAAATGATCTTTTTCTTATTCAAGCATGGCAGGTTAGTGTAAAGCTTAGTATTAGTGTTTTTGCGATACTGAAATTTCCAACTTAGGGTAAAATACTGTGAGAAATATCGATATTCTGTACTATTTTCGATACCAAACATTGGGGGTGTACAATTCAATGTCTTTATTAAAAGATAAATTAATCATAGGTACAGCATCTGAGGCTGACAAAAAAGGTTTGAACCTTTGAAGCTACAATCATTGCCATGGTAATCAACACCCAAATCAGTATTGAAATTCTGCGTTTTTTTGTTGGAGTTTTTTCTGGCTTTTTCACCAGTAAACTGGTAAAGAGATGGCAAATGTCAAACACGAATGAGCTCAGTCATTGACAAATAGGAATTGAAAGATGAATTAAATAAATTAGATCAAATGTTTGTGGTAATTAAGGCCTCACAAATTTAAATTTAAGACTGTTTAACTACTTTAAACTACACTTTAAGACATTTTAAGACACCTTGTTGTGAAATTCACTGTGGTGCACATTTGGAGTATAAAAATGAATTAACCTCCACTGATGAAAATGCCTCCAGCTCTTCCTATAAATATATATTCATGAAATTATCCCAGCTCGACTAATAAATTCCTTCATGCTCTGCCCCCTACTCATAAACCCATACCACCTCCCTCCTTCCTACTCCTACACAAAATATTAACAACCTAATGGAAAGCCCATCAAGCTGTGTGATTATTTCCTGATGACACAGAAGAGAATGGGGCCATATGGGTGCATAAAAATTCCTGGGAGACTTTCTCTCCTCTTCGCTTTTCCCTGCATGCTGCGAAACTGCTGTAGGGCTGGGTATCATTTATATAATAAAGATACCAATACCAGTAGAGAACTTCATTAGATAGCTTTTCTTCTACTTCATTCGATACCCATCATGTGAATGGAAGCATTCAGTTGCCTTAAATGCCACCAGATGCCACAGGCATGTAGTAGAGCCATACTTTAAACGTTTTGGTTGCATCTTTGCAACTGCCAAATCCGTCAAATACACCCTGCTCGACTCCATGAGCTGAAGCTGCTACAGTAGTGGGCCAATCCCATGTCACATTAGATTAAACGTTTGTGGTGTCTGCCTGCGAGCAAAACCATACAAATATCAGATCTGGGTACAAAAAACAATTGAACTCAAGTATTGTTTCACTGGAGAAGTTTCAGTACTACTTGGTTTATTTTGGTCAATACCATAAAAGCTATCGGGTGCCAATACACAGCCCTATGCACATGCCAAAAAAAGTGACGGGTCAGCAGTTTCTGATTTGACATAAACTTGCATCAAAGGACTGGAGGGATCAATGGAGCAAACAGGGGTCAGGTGGGGTCGAGACAAAACAAAAGCCCCTATAGATGTAGCCTTCACACACACACACACACACACACACACAGGGTTGCGCCCTTGTTGGTGCCCTAATTAACCAGTTAATGTACTTTCCAGTCTGACGAGGAAAATCTCCACAGGCTCTTTATCAACTGCGGCCAAGATTTCTTTCCCTGTCATCATTATTACTGCATTAAAACAAACTGACTGTTACCCTTTACGTCATGGGGCTTTTTAAAGTTTATTCTTTTTCCCTCTAAAGAAGTGCTCACTAATTCCTAAATCAAATGTGTGATGTGATCCCCACCCTTTTAATGAGCATTACCCCTGTTGACATTTTATTAAAAAATAAACCCCATGTAAACAGATAACACGCAGCAGTGTCCAATGTGAGGCAGTCTGCGCTGAATGTGGGCCACTGGCTGCATCTAGTGGTCACACGCTGCAATTACAGCAACCAAACCTCAGGCTACACAGGAAGGAAGATGTTGTAAATCAAGAAAAATACGACTTTCACTTTGCCGTGGTGACACAAAGTGAAGCAATGTAGGTCATTGCTATGTATGGACTATATGTGGTGCAGTGTGAGTTGTCGTCACCTTGCAGGAGGAAGCCAGCAGGGAGCCGTCCCGTTTCCAGCTCAGACTCTGCAGCTGGTCACCATGCTGCTCCAGAGCTGCAGACACACACACACCATCATTTAGAGATATGAGAGAGAGACAGGACTAGTGGGACAATGTCCACATAGGTCAGGAACAAAAAAGGAAAAGGAATGTATGATGCTACACACTGTGAACACAGAATGACACACATACACAGACAAGACATGACAGAAAACAACTGAGAGGTCACTGCAGGAGAAATGCAGGGGAGAGGTGAAGCCATAAAACAAGCTTACACACAATAATACAGAGTATGGGTGATTTAAGAAAGGATCTTATGACCCAATAGAGACATTATGAGCATGACACGTATTAGGCTGCGGTGCCATAAGTGAGCACAGCACGGCTTGTGTGAATTCTTCAGTTTCAATATGACACCAAACAGATGAAAAGAGATGAAAGGTGCACTTGTTAAGGCATTACACACCAAGAGAGTTGACATGATCTCAAACAATAAAACGCACTCATTCAAATATAGATTTCTGTCATTCAGACCTTGTTCCTCAACCACATATGAATGAGGAATGAGAGTGATGAAGGACAGCGTGTGGGGGGTACAGCTCATGAAAAGTTGGATCAGCAGTGAGCAGCAGCAGCCAGGCCAGCTGTCATGGGATGGGGGAGTGTTTGTGTGTGTGGAGGGGGGGGAAGGTTTGAGGCCAGAGGATAGTGACTGCATCCTGAGGCCAGTCCGGGGAGACTGGGACCAGGACAGCGAACCAAAACATTACCTCTGCTGCTCCGGCACTTAGACAGAGCCACAGGGCTGTAAAACGTAGGCAGTGTCAGTCAGACAGTCTCCAACGAAGAAAAGGAAACCAACCACTTCACTCCAAATGTATATATATATATATATATATTAATGTTGCACATAGAAACAGAACAGGCCACAACAAAAATTGAAGACTAACTGACAGAGACTGAAATGTTAAATGCAGACAGTGCATGATGTACGACAAAGACTTCGACAAAATTAATTTGGGTTGCGATGTGTGTTTTGATATAACAAGGTGTCCACAGGTATCACTTAAATTTAATGCTTTTAAAGACGTTTTGTCAACCAAATTTAAAAGGTCCAGTATGTATGATTTAAGGGATATATTGGAAGAAATAGAATAAAACAAAATAAGTATGTTTTCCTTAGTGTATAATCACCTGAAAATAAAAATCATTGTTATTTCGTTACCTTAGAATGAGCCGTTTATATCTACATAGTGAGCAGGTTCTTGTTTATAGAGATCGCCATGTTGCACCACCATGTTTCTACATAAGACCAACCAAGCACTGGCTCTACATTGGGCCATTCATGCTTTTGTGTTGGCCACTGTAGTTGGCAGCCCCTCTGCGACGAGAGTGCTGGAAAAACATTGATTTTTGTAATATAAAACTGCTTTATTCAGTGTTTTTACCAGCATAAAACACCAGTCTGTTTGTTCTAGAGATGCAGAGACCTCTGCGGATAAATCAGTTAAAACCTCTTGAACATCTAGGGCCGTATTCACAAAGCTTCCTAGCACAAGAAAATTCTTAGAATTGTGACGTTTTCTTAGAAATTTCCCTTAAAGTTAAGGCTAGGTCCTTGCAAAGATAAAAGTTTTTCACAAAGTGTCTTAACCCGTTAGGAGTAGGGAGGAGGACTTTTAGGAGCATTAAGAGTTTCTTAAGCAGAGGAGAAAATGGTGGAAACACAAAGAGGTCGGAGAAATATCCTCCAAACACTGGATGAATGCAATCATGCCAGAAATAAAATGATAACAACACTAAGATATTTGGAAAACTGGAAAAATGCACCAATGCAGCAGTGATGACTTGAGTCCATCTCAACCTTCCATCAGCAGAGTTATCACACTAACAATGACAACACTTTCACAGTCAGGAGCTCATTTCGTTTCCACTGGGTGTCCACACCTTGCAGGCCCACAAAAAGTCATGTCTGTGACAACCAATCACATCTGTTAAAAGAATGCATCATACCTCGAAACGGGGTCAACCACACTCACTAACGGTTTCTGTCCCTTCCTTGCTCAGAGTTGCTCTGTGAACTTTCCTGAATCACTCCTAAGCTAGGACTCCTTAGTAAAAATTTTAGGCTAAGTTAGGAGCTCTCTGAGAGTTTTTTCAGAATGTTTGAGAATACGGCCCCAGGTTTGTTTGCTTTGAAGAGGAAGAGACCTCTGCAGATAATGTGGCTCCTGGTAAAAACCTCCTGAAGAATGAACACTGAAGGAGTTCTAACTGGGAGAAGTATCAGCTGGTTGCAATCTGCAATCCTCACCAATAGATGCTACTAAATCCGACACATTCCTGTTTGAGCATTGCATTTAAGTATGAAGTTTAGTATATATTTGGTCCCATGCAGAGGTAATATGGTTATAAGAGTGAGTTAGGTTAATCTGCATTTTGTCAACAGGTAAGTCCAAGTATAAGGTAAAACAAAACAAAACAGTATTTCGTGCGGTGGTATGTTTGAAGGTTTGTAACATCAGAAATGTGAACTTTCACGCAGAAGATCTTGACTGGTTTTGACAATTAAAAGATGGATAAATGAAATTAGATACATTTTGGGCTTTTTTTTTAGACCTCAGGAACTCTCATTTAAGTCTATTAAATGACTTTTAAGGCCTAGTATTTATCAAATTGAATTTAAGACTTACTTTTTAATGACCCGCAGACACCTTGTATAAACTGTGTGCTTCAATGTGTGTACATGCGCTGCTCACGTCGCCACCTGTAGCTACCTGCGAGTGGTGAATCCTGGCGGCTGGTGTCCCAAATCAGAGGGGACTTGGTGGCACCGACAGCCAGCAGGCCAGAGGAGGTGGGGTGGAAGAGCACCAGCTCCAGCCTGCCCTGACCGGGACGCAGGGTCAGCTCCGGACTGCTGGGCTGCTCCAGCTCTGGATCACACAGACGCCACAGCTTCACCTGAACACAGACAGAGAGAGGGACTTTAACTTTACCACATCTTAGAGTTCACCAGCAGAAACTTTTCTCCATCCTCTTCGATGGAAATAGTTCTCAAACCTCAGCTCCTTTGAACATTAAATGAAAGGGTTTTGATCTGCGGCTCTGACAGCTGTTTTCTGAAGCCACACCAGACAAGACAGGCTGGTGTGACTAACCCAGCAGCCAACTGATTCAGTTCGTGCTGCGGACATCTTGCCTTCCAGATGGAGCAGACCGGGAGGATCACGACAAGTCGAGATGCAGCATCACAGCCAGGGATATGGCGCAAGTCTCTAACTGTTCTATCTAAACGGTGCTACCGTACTGCATTAGTTGGGGTTTGGGTTCAGCTTTGGATTTCTTGTTAATGTTGACATATGACAGCAGATGAAATGATTGTGCATTAGATCATTTTAAGTTAATCAAAATACTCATATTTCACAAGTAGGAGCATTCGTTTAGTTTCACTCTAATTGGCTTGCTCAGCACAGCCCGGTTAATGAAACAATATACCCTGCTGGCAACAGATAAAAGGAATCGAAGTGCGCTCCAGATGCCGGGCACTGCAGACCACTCTAGTGTGTGTGTGTGTGTGGCAGTAGCTGCATGTGTTTGCACAGCTCCCTGAGGTAAACCGAGCTGCTGAGTCTGAGGATGCAGACCCACACTCAGCAGATTCCAGTAAGCTAGGGCACCTGTGGCCGAGGATAATGTGCTGAGAGGAGAGAGTCTTCAAAAGGTTTAAATAACAAAAAACTGGGCAGGTTCATATCCTAGCCCGAGCGCTGCCAGGAACAACAAAGCCCGAGAGGACGGAAAGAGGACTTACTATGTGTAAGTATTCGACAGCAAAATCAATATGAAGAAAGAGAAAAGGAATCTCACCATTTCATCTCCGGAGCATGTTGCCAGGAGACTTTCATCAAAAGGAGAGAAGTCCATATCAGTCACCAGATCTGACGGAGGGGAGGGAAAACAAATGGAAAATAAAAATTAGATCAGGGTCACAGCTGTCTGGCTTAATTTCCAGAGTGTCCTTGAGGGTCGGAGCAGTGACAGTTATGAAGAGGGACGCTACCTGAATGGCAGGAGATCTGCGTGACTGTCCACTGGCCATCTGAACCAGGTTTGACTGAGGACACGCCCAGCATACCTCCACCTGCAGACACAGAAAATGTCATTAATCATACTATTTAAATCTTCTCCTACACCTTTATAGTGTGGGAGAATTTTCAGAGTCACAATAGGGCACTGCAAATTAACCCATCTCCTATATCAGTGGTTCCCAACTGGTCCGGCCACAGGGTCCAGATTTCTCCTTAGTCATTATTTTACGGTCCACACAGTTTAACATATTGAGCACTGGTCACTTAATCACTCACTCTACAGCAGGAAACAGCACTTCAAAATAAAAGCTGTGCACCAGAAATTCACTGAACTTCTAAATAAAGTGGGGTTTTTTTTTTTTTTTACACATTTGACACATTCCTCATTCATGTGCGGTCCATTCAGAATGGAATGTGACCCACTTTTGGACTGCGACCCACCAGTTGGGAACCACTGTCCTAAACAATAAAGCTTCATCAAAGATAAGAACTGTGGCACTTTATACGAAAGCTCAGTAATAACATGGTAATAGTAGGGTAACAGTCTGATAATAAAGATGTAATAATAAGATAATACCATGTAATTAACAAAGTAATAACTATTAATGATGGGTATTAGGGATGGGAATTGATACGATTTTATTGATACCAATGTCATTATCAATTCTGCTTATGGGGTTAGATTCCTCATTGGTTCCCTTATTGATTTCTGGTCATTTTTTGAGGTGCAGTAGTTAGCGTTGTCGCCTCACAGCAAGAGGGTTCCTTGTTTGAACCCTGGGTGGGGGAGCCCTTCTGTGCGGAGTTTGCATGCTCTCCCCGTGTCAGCGTGGGTTTTATCAGGGTACTCCAGCTTCCTCCCAAAGTCCAAAGACATGCACGTAGGTGGCCGTAGGTGTGAATGTGAGTGTGAATGGTTGTCTGTCTCTATGTGTCAGCCCTGCAAGAGTCTGGCGACCTGTCCAGGGTGTACCCCGCTTCTCGCTCAGTGTCAGCTGGGATAGGCTCCAGCCCCCCTGCGACCCCTAACAGAGTAAGCGGTTATGGTAAAAAATGAATAGCCAAAGAAAAAAATACAGCTCAGCCTTCTTGCATCATTTTCAAGACATTAAAAGCAGCACTGCTGTGATCTTTCATCATGAAAAGACGCTACGCTTTGGACCATTTTGTCTTCCCACTATGGCTCCTTCTTGTCTCAAGGTTCCAGTAACATAGACGTATAAATTTGATGTCACTGTTTTGCAACGCACATCTGTCGGAAAAACATGTCAGCACCTATAAAAAGGAATTGATAACCTCTGAGGCATATGATTTCCATGGATTTCGCCTGTAACTTGTAACAAGGGGCCAGAAATAAAGGGTTATTATAGGGCAACACATTTAAAGATTTGAATGCAGTAACCTGCTAACAATAAAATTGCTATATTAGCACAATGTTTGGATTAAAATATTGTAATATGGTGACATTAATGGGGTTATAACGTTATATCAATGAGGAGGAAATACAGGTCAAGGGTACCTCTTTATCAAACTATCAAACCACTATTACCATGTTATAATCGAGCTGTAAAGTCCAACCCAAAACACAAAAAAATGATGTTGTTCTTCCAAGGAAATCCTCTGTCAGTCTGCCTGAAGCAAACGTTTCTGTTGTTGACCGCACTTTTACAGCCTTACCAGCCTGCTCGCTGTTGAAGGCCACCAGCTTGGAGCTCGCTTTGATGTGGTTCCCCTGGCAGGAGAAGGAGCCAGCTCGGACGTTGTTGATCCATCCCTGGATTTAAAAACGTGGAGAGCACGAGTAAGGGATTACAATGGATGAAACAAGGGTGTGATAAATGCACACAGATAATTGAGGTCAATCAACAAAACAGAGAGGAAAAGTCTTTCAAGCCCAAGAATCCTGGGTATTCACTTGACATGTCTACACAAGAGCACAATCAAGCAGCTGCAATGAAGAAAGAATCCAACTAAATAATATAAAGAAGCACACATGACCAAGTTGCCGTTACAGCTCGAATGAAACAAAGTGAACACTGAAATAAACAGGAAGGATCTAGCTGAGAGCATGCACAGATAAGTGCTACTAAATGAACAGAGTGTTGAGGAAGTGGAAGGGCTCCCTGCGTCGCACAGCAGAGAACTTTAGAAACCTCTTTCAGCATTAACAAGGCGAGAGCAGCGAGAGGACTGAGTGGCTGTACAACACGCTCCAGCAACTGCTGCTGCGCTGTCACAGACCAACCATAACAGACACTCGGCCCACAGAGGGCACTTCAGAAGCATGCGTTCATTTTAACAGGGTCTGTCAAAAGACAAGTTGACAACAAATGCAAATGTGTCCCTGGTGAGACACAAGCCCACGCTTCACTCTCAGTTTACGTTGGGAGTGAAATAACAATCCTGAACTTGTGTTTATCATCACGCCTGAGATTATTAGTCATTACTAGGGCTGTAAGGAAAACTCAGCATCCAGAAAAAAAAAAGCTGTATCTTGAGCTTCTTTTCCTGCATGGAAAAGACACTCTTTATATTATAAAAGGCTAGGACATGATTATATACTAAGGGGGACACACCCCTCTATATATTTAGATGTGCTCAAAATGTCCCTCCAGTATATCTATATAAAAAAGCCATGCTACAACAGGCAGCCACACACTGCCGTCCAAAATAATCATTAGCAAATGTCATCATAATCATAATAAACTTAAAAATGTGCCGCTATAGATGTTAACTTAAGTCGAGCCCAGATGAACATTGTCTCTTTCTGCTCACTTCTGGTCAGAAGGCTCATCCTGTGTATACGGTAGGACTCTTCACCTCCAACATATGGACACTGGATTAAGGATGTTATGTATTATTTACAATTGGAGAAAATCCCTTGTTTTTTTAAAGGATCAACAGCACGCTTCTTTGCCACCTGGCAGCCATTTTTAACTTTTTTAGCAAATATGAAACATGTAATACTCCCCTACTTCTGTCACACAGGTTAATTAATTTGTCGTCCCTTTTTTTTCCTTTTATTATTTTTTTCTAATTTATATTTATTTTTAAAATTATTTTTCTTTTTTCTATTTATGTATATATATTTGGAAAATTCTTTAATTTCATTTTTTTTGAGCTTATTTATTTATTTTTTGTTTTTGACTTTTATTTCCTTTCACTGGTCTGGCTTTCTCTGTTTGTTTCTGGGCTGGCGGGTGGGTGGGGTTGATTTCTGTCCTTGTTGGGTCTATGTTTGTTTGCTGATGCTTTGTGCACCTTAGTGAATTATCAATAATATCAATACAAATATCTAAACAAAATGCCACTATTATTACTACCAGTTCTAGTTTACAATGTATGGTTTGTGTTGCCGTACCTCAGCAGAAGCTGTGGGTCGGTACAATTGCGTCAAATGTATTAAAAAGTGGAAACTAGGATGTGATATGAGCTTCATGTGGGTTATATCATTGTTTTATTGTTATAGCTTTGAGTGAGCATGTGCCGACTGTGCATGCAGCCTGTTGCATTATATTTTTAACTCTTGAATGTATAGATTAATTCAACATACAATGCACATAACTGTACATATTTCTTATGTTTAGTCTAATTCTATTGTTGTTTTATTCTGCTGATGTAGTTAAATTTTCACACTTTTCACACTTTTAATTTTATATCTTATGTTCTAATGTTAAACACAGTAGCATAATGCACATTTCATATCCACCTAATTTTATTTTATTGATTTATATGTACACACTTTATGTCATACTCTTATTCTTACTTCATATAACTCTATTCTTCACATCGGAGCAACTGGATCGACTCATAATTTCCCCTCTGGGATCAATAAAGTATTTCTGAATCTGATTCTGATTTTGTGAAGTGTTAGTATGTCATGAAACGATCATGAAACGAGCCCAGTGTGTGCACATTTCTTGCACGGGCCCTCAACCATATCCTGGCTCTCTGAAACTGAACTTTGAGAACTCCTGATCTGAGATTTTTGTGTCAAAATGTTCCAAAATGGTCATTTTAGCCTTGCCTCCCCTTAATATATCAATTTGGGTCAATGTGTACAAGACCTGGTTTGAGTTTTCTGCATTTTCCTCAGGATTAAAGAGACAGACTGTGAATCCTTTCACAGGCCCATGATTAGAACGCACCTTGGCACCAAAAACAGTTATACTAACAGGGGACACCCCGTGCCAACCAAATAAGAGCTGACTAAATTAGACTCCTCCTGTGGCCACTCTTTGAGACCATGTGGAAAACTCAAACTGTTGTGAATAATCTGAGAAGGAGACATCCCTTGCCCCATTTCCTCTCTTCTACAGTGACATGTCAGCTCCTGTCACATGACTATCATCAGGCACAATCACACATATTGGGTCTGCTGAATGGAGGGCTGGTTTGATATTCACGGCAGCAAAGCACCACCTGCTGTCTCAAACCCCTGTGCAGAGATTGGGGAGATAGCAGGACCGTCTGCTGTCTGTAAATACCAGGCATTTTACTGCCTCGGTAAAAACAAGGTGAGGGATTACATAACCCACCTCAGCAGGGAAAGCTGCAGGCGTTTGCAACTTGAAACAAATGCACCCAGAAGATGAGGAAAAATGGCAGATTTGTATGCAAGACACTACACTCCCGTCCAGACATGTCGCCTCCTTTCTAGCCTCCAGCCTACAGGACAACAATCACTGACAGTGGCATCATGACAGGAGTATCACTTATCGCATTTACCAGTCAAATTTTTATCTTTCCCTTTCACTCACCCGCAGCAAATCTGTGCAGGTCCAACATAGCACCAAGCGTGCAGTCAAATTGTGCAACCCCACATTAAAACACAATGTCAGTCAGCTGTAGTAAAATAGCATGATGATGGGCGTCACTGCAACATCCTATGGAGGCTAGCAGCTCTGTGCAGCCACATGGCTCCTAGTTTCACTACTAGCCCAACAGTTCGTGTCAATACTGGTGTGTGAGTTAAGATTTTATGTCTCAATCAAGCAGCCTTCCAGATGCAGGAAGTTCAACATCCCTCACAGGCAGGCGTTCCCCCCCAAACACAACTTCAGTAGCACAGCTAATAACCCAAGCTAATGTTAGCTAGGAGAAGTGGGTCCGCAAAGACGCTCGCGAGCTACTCACATCTTTCTTGGCAATTTTCGGAGTGGTGTTTTTGAATTTGGAGGTCTTAAAGCGATTCATGCTGCCCTCTCAAATTGACTTTCGTGCCTTCCGGGTGTCTCTGTCGAGCTGGTTGGTACTCGGCAGAGGACTCCTGCTTACAGCTGACAGTTCAGGTTGGCCGCGCGGGGTGCGCTCGCTTTGGCTCGCGGAGCTGCCCGCTTGAGCGGAGTTAGCTTTTCTAACACGGGAGCACACCTTGCTCTGTCACGTGCTGCCCCGGGTATTAAAACACCTGCATCCTTTTACCTGACACTTGTGATGTAATGACACTCATAATGTTTGAATACTTAGAGTTAACTGTGTGTTGGAGCCACATGTCAATAGCTCATAAAAAGAAGATTTAAAGGGATAGTTCTTTTTTTTTTTTGAAGTAGTGTTGAATGGGATGCTTATCCATAGATAGTATATTACATACAGTAGATGTAAGTCGGCACACCCCCAGTTTGGAGAAGCAGGCCAGAGTCCAACATGGAAGCCAAGCAATATACTGCATGGGTTTACTCAGGGTGCTCCAGCTTCCTCCCACAGTCCAAAGACATGCATGTTAATTGGTGACCCTAAATTGCCCTTAGGTGTGAATGTGAGTGTGAATGGTTGTCTGTCTCTATATGTCAGCCCTGTGATAGTCTGGCTAGTGTACCCGGCCTCTCGCCCAGTGTCAGCTGGAATAGGCTCCAGCCCCCCTGCAACCCCCAAAATGATAAGTGGTTACAGAAAATGAATGAATGAATAAACAACTGTCTCTACCGCTAAGATGTGGCCAGAGAATTTAACTAACACACTTCATTTGCAAAGGATAAAATGTGCCGTGAAAGACAGGCTCCAACCATTCAAATAAAACCTGGAAACGCCTCATATCATATCTTGCAACCACTGCAACTGAGATGCAGGTATGGGAGGGTAGACCTGTGATTATGGGGATAATGGTTAAGCTTGTTATTGATTTCTTTTTTATTATCCTATGGTGATGTAATTGCATTTTATTTTTTACTACCTTATTCAGTTTTACCTTTGTCCCTATTACAACATTTGATCTCCTATTGATCTCAAGGTATCATGCGCAACTGTACTGTTCAGGAAAATGAGCCTTAAATGTAGGTGTGGAATATATGTGGAGTCTATCTGCTCAATAAAATCTATTTTAAAAAAAAAACAATATGAGTTTAAGTGTAAGCTATATTTACAACATTTTCACTGTTTTATCTTTATGTCAGACTGTGATCTACAACAGGAAAATGGAGCTATTTTAACGTTCTCTTCCAAGCCAGACTCCATTGAGAAAAATGGTGATTTAACACTGCTGAGCAAATGAGCTGCTGGTCTACCACTGTCTCGATCTGTTATTTTGTTTGTTTTATCGTGTGACTCTGGCATTTTAAAGTATTATTCAGATTCCCTAAAGTCACACAATAACACAAACTAACTAACTGAGCAAAGCAGTGACAGGCCAGCAGCTCCGTGTTCAAAGAACTAAGATAACTATTGTTTTTGTCAATGGAGTCTGGTGGCGTTGCAAGAGCATAGATGAGAAACTGAAGTCATCAATGGCTTTCCTGCTGGAATGGGCTCTCTAACGGAAATGTAAAGCTGTGAAAATACTCTCAGTATGGCATGCACTTAAAATGATAATGATTTTTTAGGTGGGACTTTTTTAAGGTGGCTAAAATACCGTAAAACTACAAATAAATGCCCAGTTCCTTTTACTAGCCTGGTGTGGATTTGGACAAATAAAGGCCTGTCTCAATTAGACCCCTGGTCTGGTTGCCAAGCTGTTCATTTTTATTGAAGTTCTTCAGATGGATAAAACAGGGTAGTTGGCTGCCTTAAATTATGTGTCCATGTCAATGATTCATAATTGATACATTATCTGAAGCCTAATTTATATACAAGTAATATTCAAACTGGTTTAAATAAACAATTGATTGCGTTTCCGAATTTAGCAACAGTTTTGTGTGAAAGGAATTAAAAGCCTGTCCCAAATACAGGCCTGTTGAATTAAATGAGCAAATAATAGCCCGGGCTATTAATTGTAGTTTTACTGTACATTTTGTTGCTGCCCGTCCACGGCAGCTTCTCTGTCGGCCTGCTTCTCCAAACTAGGGGCATGCCAACTTTTACTCTAAGTAATAAACTGACTATGGATGAGTACCTCATACAGCCCCACTTAAAAAAAAACACGAACTATCTCTTTAAGATAAACTTCTGCGACTCGTTTTTCTCGACAGAGCACCATCTTGACTAACAGAACATCTTTGCGCTCTAGGTGACGCCCACTCCGGTCCGCACATGCGCAGTGTGTCCCAGGCAGCGGCTACAGAAGGAATGATGGCGTCCTCGGCTGTCCGCCGCTCCTCACGCTGGATTACAGTAATTGTGTCCTCTGGACGTGTCAGGGCCGCCGGTGCTGCTGTCTGCTTCGGTCGTGGAGGTGTCCGCAGTGTCTCTACGCTGGGAGCGGAAAAACTATGGCGGGGAGGAAGCTCGGTGTGTGTCGGAGCAGGGAAAGCGTTGACATTGAGAGGGCTGTCAGGTGAGTGGTGTTTTACCCATATGGTGCCGGCCTAGGCTAGGCTAAGCTAGGCTAGGCTAGGCTAAATGTCTTGTAGTTTCTGGTTTACTCATGTGACGCAGGATAATACAACTAAGTTTACTCAGCTCGACAAGAGCTCAAGCTAGCTTTAAAGATAAGATGTGTTAGAAAATTATTTTATTAACGTAGTGTTAAAGATAGTTAACAGTATCTTATGCAACCAGTTTTGCTAACTTTGGTTTGCAGCCATCAAGTTGGATTTGCAAGGGTTGATACAGGTGTTTTCTGTTACCCACGACATCCTTACTCTGACTTAAAAAGGAGCCCAACTATAGACCTAATGCCACCTACCAACTGTGCGACTCCTAACCGCAAACAATGTCAATGGGGAGCCAAGAACATCATAACTTGTTTTGTTGTCAGCAGCTTTTCTCATTGCTGTTTGTGGAGCTGCAAGCATTTGTATTTCTAGAACCTTCCTGCAGGTCAGGTTGACTTGTAGGTCTGTCTTTACAAATATTTGTCATCCAGTTTGGTCTCAAAGTACATTCAGTAACAGTTCATAACAATGCAGGGGAGTCAATTTAGCTGACCTGGATGCAGCTTCAATATAGCTCCACTGTTCAACATGGTATTTACTTCTTCCTTTTACTCTGTTGTGACACTCTCTAGGCATCAAATCACCCAATGCTGTCTGCACATTGTCCTTCCACACAAGTGCCCCCGCCAGCAGCAAGCAGGACTACTACCAGGTCCTTGACGTGCCTCGCACTGCGACCCAGAAAGAGATCAAGAAAGCCTACTACCAGGTTTGCTCCTGCCTGACATACATTTACAGCTTGTCTTGGCTCCCAGATAACCAGTCATGACAGTAGCTGACAGTGTGTTTGTTGTCCCTCAGCTGGCCAAAAAGTACCACCCGGACACCAACAAAGACGACCCACAAGCCAAGGAGAAATTTGCTCAGCTGGCTGAAGCTTATGAGGTGCAGTCTTTACTCAAGCTTTCATTAATCTACGCACGTGTTTTCTGCTAAATCAATGAATAGTAATCATCAAGATTAAACAATGCTCCATGTGTCTTTCAGGTCCTGAGTGATGAAGGAAAGAGGAAGCAGTATGATGCGTATGGCTCAACAGGCTTTGATGCTGGTCAGGCTAGTGGAGGGCACCACTACTGGTCTGGACAGTCCAGCAGCGTGGACCCAGAGGAGCTCTTCCGTAAGATCTTTGGGGAATTCTCTGGAGGCCGTGGCTTTGGAGACTTCAATGCCATATTTGAGCAGCCGCAGGAGGTTAGTGGGATACTCTAAAATGGGAGCAAAAGCCAAGGAGTGCCTTTGATTTTTATTGGTGATGAATTTGTGATACCTTCTCTTTTCAACACAGTACATCATGGAGCTGACGTTCACTCAGGCAGCAAAGGGAGTCAACAAAGAGTTTTCTGTTAACGTAGAAGCAACCTGCCAGCGCTGTGATGGTAAAGGCCACGAGCCAGGCACCAAAGTCCAGCACTGCCACCACTGCAACGGCTCCGGCATGGTGAGAGCTCTGACACGCAGCCTTTTCTTAAAGCATATATTTGTAGTTTGTTGCGTCACTAAACACATGCATTGTCCACCCTGTAGGAGACGGTGAATACAGGACCGTTTGTGATGCGCTCCACGTGTCGTCGCTGTGGAGGCAAAGGCACAGTCATTTCAACACCCTGTCAGTCCTGCCGTGGGGTGGGGCAGACCAAGCAGAGGAAGAATGTGATGGTTCCTGTGCCTGCAGGTCAGTGTCATTTAATAGTCTCTTCTATTGTTTACACACTGTAAATACCTCCAAGGATATTTGATATTATCACTATTAATGAGTAAGAAAGGTCAGTTTATCAGCTGTTGTCAGAAGCAACTGCTGTCTTCCCTGCTGCATACATTTCTGAATTATTATATGGTATTAGCTTTTATTGTTTGCATATAAGGCTTTTTACAAAGGAGTGAAAATGAAAATGTATTGATCATGATAATGCACAATGCAGCATCACAGAGATTTGCGATCACCTGCTGCACCCTTCTAAAATGTAGTCTGCAATATGACACAACAACCGCCAGGGGATATTTTGGTGGCGCACTGGTGGAAATGGAACAGTATGTGAATGATAAATGAAAACAATAAACAGTTTTCGGGTGGTAACGTGTTCTGTGACATTGTAAATGTAATAATATCACCCGAAATCTTGTTGGTAATGCATTATATTACTTGGGTACTGCTAAAACGTGTATTACTGTCACACCCAACACTGTTTATACACACTTTGTTGCTTTTTATATCACATTATCCGACTTTCTGGTCTTAAACTGTGATTTTTTTCCCCCAAAATTAGGAGTTTAATCTAGTAATATTCTCTTTATTCTCATAGATTTATGACTGTATTCTCAAAGATTTTTTTTTTCTTTAACATGGCACTAATCCTCTTTTGTAGCTTTTAAACATTCTTTAGTGTCACATCATTATTATTATTATTATTATTATTATTATTATTATTATTATTATTATTATTATTAGAAACCTGATGTATAACCGCATTGTATCTGAAAGCTTCAGTTGCTAACTTTAATGAAAATAACT